GGCTGGCGTCAAACTCAGAGATCTGCCTACCTCCCGAGTGCTGGGATTAAACACGTACTCCCCCACTGCCCATCTTTTTGTTTATTTTAATGTGTCTTTAGCATGTGTATCTGTGTACCACTTGTGTGCCTGGTGTCCTCACAGGCCAGAGGAGGACATTGCCCCTCCCCCGAACTGGAATTACAAATGATTGTGAACCACCATGTGGGTGCTGAGGTCAGCACCTGGGAAGAAGAGCCAGTGCTGAACCATTGCACCATCTCTCCAGCCCCTAAGAGCTAAAATGCAATCTGCAATCGGTAAGGAAAGAAAGGAAAGAAAACAAACCCCCACCCTAACAGATTTCTGGCTACCTGGGGTGGCACTTTGTTTGAGACTAGTCTTCCTGTTAATGGTTACAGAATAGTAGCCAAGCTCTTTCTAATCCAAACTCTAGACTGGATCCCACCCTGTGGGTGCTGGTTTTTCAAACACTACTTTATTTGGGGGTTCTGTAGAGCTTGCACCTCCCTTCCAACCCCTCAGCCCCAGGAAGGGGAAAAAGAAGGTTGTAAGGGAAAGGGGAGGTCACCCTCTTTACTGCTTCCTGCTGGGTAGGGCCATAGGATTCTTTTGGGGGCAATACCAGTATCCATCATCAGGAAAGCCAGAAGTCCAGGTAACCAGCAAACTGCAAATGCAGTAAACCAGTAAACATAGCAAGCAGTCCTCTGCTTTCTCCAAGCCACTGGTTTTGTTTTGTTTTTGTTGTTGTTGTTTTTTTTTGTTTTTTTTTTTTTTTTTTCTGTTTGGGCTATCATATTTATATCCCTCAAAGTCCTCAGAATTCAACTAATTCCAGCTGGCAAACCACACGCTCCACACGAGACAATTAACAGGTGTGGACAAACTAAAATCCCCCACTCAGGATTACAACAACGTGTTTACATACCATAAACCCAAACGTCCACAACACCACCCTATCCCATCCCCAGGTAACTAAATGCTCCCACCTCTAAGTAATCAAATTGTTTCGTGTTAAAGCACTCACAGGAGGCAGCTGACCCCCAGCCCCTTTTCTTTCCCTAGTTGTGTGCTCAACCTCACTCTGCAGAGTGATGAGCGCGCCAGCCTGCAGGCCTCCTTAGCAGCCCTTTGCTTTTTTGTTTTCCTCTTCTGGTGGAAACGGACCATGCAGCTTGGGAACGTAGTTTGAACCTTGCTAAATTCTGCTGCCTAGCTGGCTGGTCCATTTAGGTGGCAGCTTCCTCTTCCATTCTATGGAATGAACTTCAGACTCCTCCTTTGCCTTTCCCAACATTGTTTCTTGTGTTCTTCTCCAACTCCTTTAAACATTCCTTCCTTTCTGTATTTGTTTGTTTCTCTGCTGTTTGCCTGGATTCCCTTTGGCTTATCTCCCACTCTGAAGTGTAAACCCCGGGTGCCTCCCCATACTTTGGGTGTCACTCAACGCAAATACTTCGGTGCTCTGAGACACCGTTCCCCACCACCCACCTGCGAAGGCCCCTTTCATCTGCAGATGTGTGTTCTCCACTGCACTGTCAGTATAAGCACTCGGCAAACCCATCAAGATTTTAAAATAACAAGCATTTAAATGAAAATTTATTTATTTTATTAGTGTGTGTATGGGTGTGAGTGTTACACCCCACAGCTGTGCATAGGAGGACAGAACAACTTTCAAGAGTCAGTTCTCTCCTTCCACCATGGGTTCCAAAGATCTAACGCAGGTCCAGTGAGGCAAACACCTCACTGGCTGAGCCAGATTGCTGGTCTAAATTATTATTATTATTAGAGGCAGAGTCTCATGTAGTAGATATTGGCAAACCCGCTATGTAGCCAAAGGTAACCAGAAGGTCCTCCTGCCTCCGCCTCCAAGCTGCTGGGATTGGAGGGATGTGCCATCACACCAGGTTTTTTGCCTTGATGGAGCTCCAACCCACGGCTCTGTGCATGCATGTTAGGCAGGCACTTTGCCAACTGACCTACATCTCCAGCTTATCTTACTATTTTAGGCCAGCACCCAAAGCTTGCTTTTCATTGTGGCATTTCATACTTGCCTCCTTGTACTCGGGCCTCATTCATGCCCCTCCCCTTCCGCTGGCTCCCACTCTTCTGCTCTCCTGTGCTCCTTCCATTTCCCTCAGCATCTCCCCCTCATGAACCCCTTTCTAGTTTCCTGGTCTACAGATACACCTATGTAAATACACAAACATACACACACATAAATTTAGATTAAATTTAAAATTATGTCCTGGGACTGCAGAGATAGCTCATTGGTTAGGTATACTTGTTGCTCTTGCAGATTTGATTCCCAACATGGACATGGCAATTTACAACCACCTGTTAACACTGGTTCCAGGGAATCTGAAGCCCTCTTCTGACCTCGTAGGCAGCAAGCATGCACGTGATAAACAGATACACATGTAGGCAAACAAAGTTAAATTTTATTTTATCTTTATTTTTTCCTTTGCATTTTTTCTCTCACACACACAGGAAGGGAGGGAGGGAGAGAATGAGGGAGAGAGAATATGTATGCATGTGCCAGGGGAGGCCAAAAAGGACATTGGATACTCTGGAACTGGAGTTACGGGCGGTTGTAAGCCACCATGTGTGGGTGCTTGAAACCAAACTCAGGTTCTTTCTACAAGAGAGCAGAAATTGCTTTAATCACTGAGCCGTCTCTTCACCCCGTGTATAGAATTTTAAATCTAGGATCTGCATATGAGACCCTATATATGGTCTTTGTCTTTTCATTTTACCTTATTTCCCTTAACAGTAGTACCTGGTTGCATTCATTTTCCACAGGTGACATGATTTCATTAAAAAGAAAAACAGGACTGTTGAGTAAAATTCCACCAGCCATATGTACTGTGTTTTCTTTGCCCACACATCTGTTGGTGGATATCTAGGCTGGTTCTGGTTCTTGGCTATTGGGAACAGGCAGCTCTATGGGCAAGAATCTCTGCAGTTTGTTGATTTAGACGCTTTGGGTGTATACCTAGGAATGGTGTCGGCGGGTGGGATGGGAGTTCTATTTGCAGCTTTTTGAGTAGCGTCCACACTGATCTGCATAGTGGCTGCACAAGGTCTGCATTCCTGCCAGCAGACACTAGAGGTTTGTCTTTCCCTAGCCCTTCACAACATCTGCTTTCTTGATGATGCTCATTCTGACTGGGGTGTGATAGAATCTCAAAGCAGTCTTCAGCTGCACTTTCCTGATGGTTAAAGATGTTGGACACGTTTTGAAGTACTCATTGGTCATTTGTCTTTCTTTTGGGAATTGTCTGTTCAGTTCAGTAAACTGCTCATTGATGGAATGGTTTGTTTCATAAAAATTATGGACAGTTGCAAATGTGTTTAACACTGTCAAATATAGTATATTTGTTTAGCTTCCCCTAAACATATTTGGGCAAAAATTTTAAGATAATAAACCCATTTTTTTTAAAATACTAAAGAGTTGACTATTACACATAGTTTATTAAAAAGTCCAAAGTATTATTTCTGCTGAATCTGTATGGAGTACTAATCAGTAAGTTAAAAAAAAAAATCTAGCTGGGTGGTGGTGGTGCACACCTTTGATCCCAGCACTCGGGAGGCAGAGGCAGATGGATCTCTGAGTTTGAGGCCAGCCTGGTCTACAGAATGAGTTCCAGAACAGCCAGGACTACACAGAGAAACCTTGTCTCAAAAAGCTAAACCAAAAGAAACCAAAGCCAAAAAATCTAAAATTGAATTATAGGTTGGCATGGTCAGTATCTTCATGTCATTTATTAATATTGTTTATTCTGATTAACCTGTCCTTGGGAATTTTCGTTAATCTGCTTACTGTCCTGCCAGAAAGGATTTCGTGTCTCTGGTTGGCAGAAAGGATTTCGTGTCTCTGGTTGGCAGAAAACTTAATAACCAGATCTAGTTTTCAGTTGTACTGTAAACATCCAGCATGTGAGAGCTGGGGAGACAGCTTCCCTGGAAAGGGCTTGCTAGCATTGGTAACATGAGTTCGAGCCCTAAAACCCCTACTAAAAGCCAGGCATAGTGGTCTGTGCGTGTAACTCCGGCGCTGGGGAGGTGGGGTGCAGACCCCTGGGGCTAGCCTAGCCTATCGGATACGCTAAGTTCAGTGAGGGACGTTGCCGCAAAAACAAGGTGGATGGTGCCTGAGGGACATACCCAAGGCTGACTTCTGACCTCCACACATGCGAGCCTGCACCTTCATCCACAGGTGCACCCCACCGATAAAAACACAACTATCTGAAAGGTGAAAGAGATGGGAAGTGAGAAGGAAATCTCCACGGGAGGAGGTTGGGGGGTGTAGCTCAGCAGCAGCATGTGAGTTTTAGCATGCAGAAGCACCGAAGTTCAACACAAAACAGGCTGAGCCCGGAGGGGGAGGGACGCACGCCTGTGATCTCAGCACTTCGGAGACTGACGCTGGAGGATTGTAACTAGTTCCAGGCTAGTGGGGGCTACGTACGGAGTTCTAGGCTAGTCTGGGCTTGTGAAACTTTGTTTAAAAAAAAAAAAAATTAGACCGAAGCGAAAGTAAAAGACACAAGTCAGGGTGGAGAGATGGATGACTCAGAATGAATTCAATCCTCAGACTAACATAAAGGAATAGTTTTCTAACCCCTCACGGCGCTCATAGGTAGATGATAGATAGAAAGATAGATAAACATGCAGATAGATAGAGGATAGATAGGTTAAAAAATAAAATGTAATTTAAAAAAAACAACCCCAAACCCAAACTGGAGTTCACAGAAAGCATGGAACTCCGTGGGCTCTTCCAGAGTTAACAGCTGGAATGGCAGAAGGGGCGTGGAGAGCAAGGGGCGAGGCTAGGCGAGGGGGCGTGGCGATGGGTGGGGCGCGGCGAGGGGGCGTGGCGACCCGGGGGACTTTCTGTGGGTTGGGGCGCGCCGGGCGAGGGGGCGTGGCGAGGGCGTGAGGAGGGCGGAGCTGACCGGAAGCGGGGGCGGAGTTCCAGGAAGTGACGCCCCCTATTGCGCGACGGAGTCTTCTGCTGGACTAGCAACGTTTTGCGGGCGATGGAGAACGGAGCGGTGTATAGTCCCACCACCGAGGCGGCCCCGGGCGCCGGCAGGGGCGCGCGCAGCGGCCTGGCCGCCTACTTCTTCCTGGGAAGGCTTCCGCTGCATCGGCGCATCCTCAAGGGCTCGCAGCTGGTGAGCCCAACGGCAACGGAGGACGAGCGGGCGCTGGGGCTAGGGCCGGGACCGGGGTCGGGACCGGGACCGGGACCTGGACCTGGATCTGTAGGCTCTGGTGGATGATTCGAGGCTGCTGCTCGGCCTCCTCGTTCGGGAAGCAGCCGCTTCCACACCCCAGTTCCTTCCTTCCCCAAGAGGGAAGGGGGCGTTGCTATCTGCCTCCCTAGACCTCCTTTCCCTTCTCTCAGCTAACACTCTTTCGTTATCACTCCGAGTGCTTGCGTTTTAGACGACGGAGTGCTTTCCGTTTATCTTTCCTGGCTTTTGCAGTTTTCCGGGTGCCAGCTCACTGGGGCAGTTTAACTTGTTGGACGCTTTCTGTGTGTGTGTTTAGCTTCCACAGTGAGTTTGAGGCAGAGAGTCAGAAGGGCATCTTCCTGGTTGGTGTGTGACGGAGAGAGAACTAGATCTCTTTATTTTTGGCGGTTAAGTACCATAAAGCTTAGGCGTGAAAATAGAGACATTTTTTATATTGAACTTGCGATCTGACTGATACTCGTGTTGTTTTTCAGGGTCCCGACTCAGCGACCAATGGGCATTACTTTTTTGAAGAAGGCAATTTCAGGAAAATCAAATTGGTTGGATTGTTTGGTTTAGCTTGTGTGGGGCTTTTTGGTTTGTTTTGTGAACCATTTATGCCAAAAACAGCCCACCAGTTTCCTTGGGAAGATTTAAAATTCTTTAAACTCTGATAACCAGAACTGACATTCTTGGAACTCAGTTGACCTAGTTTCCTGGAGTAGGAAAACAGCAGTTAGAAAACTGGAGCTGCTTTTAGTTGCCAGAGTGATGGAAGCTGGGGCCGACGAGGAAGTCATTCTGAGACAACCCTGAGGACCCGGTCTTGTGTGTCCTTCTAGAATGTCTGCAGTGGGCACCTTTAGGTTCTTAGGCACTGGTTCCCTCCTTTCATCGCTCCTTGGCAGAACCAGTTCCCTTTACCCCACTCTCCCTCCACCTCCCCTTCTTTTACTTCTCCTCCCTCTCCCCTAAGCTCTTTCTCTTCTCCCTCTCTCCCTTCTCTCTTCCTCTTTCCACTCCATCTCTTTCTTCACAGGGGCTCAGTCTCATGTAGTACAGATTAGCTTCAAACTCTAATATGTTATAGAGTGTGACCTTGAACTTCTGGTCCTCCTGCCCTCCACTCCTCAGTGCTGGGATTACAGGTGTGCTCCACCTTATGGGTTTATGTGATACTGGGAATTGAACCCAGGGCCTTGTGCTTGCTAGGTAAGTGCTCCACCAACTGAGCTGTATGAAGTTCCAGACTGGCTTTCTTTTGTTCTTTCTCTACTTAGTCCTCACATACGTTCTAGAGACCAGCTGTGCTTCTCTGCGGGAAAACATGTTTCTTTTTTTTTTTTTTTTAATTTATTTTTATTTTATGTACATTGGTGTTTTGACTGCATGTATGTCTATGTGAGAGTGTCAGATCCCCTGGAACTGGAGTTTCAGACAGTTGTGAGCTGCCATGTGGTCGCTGGGAACTAAACCTGGATCCTCTGAAAGAGCAGCCAGTGCTCTTAACCATTGAGCACCTCTCCAGCCCCCAAAATGACAAGTTTTTTTCTTTCTGGCTTTAGTATTTCTTATTAGAAAGAAAAATAAAAACACCTGAAAATAAGATTTTTTTTTTTCCTGCATCTCCATGCAACAACCAGTAGAGATGACTTCCATGGAACAGCAAAAATGCTTCGATTATACAGTCATTTCTCTTTGTTCAAAAAGGTCCATTAGAAATGTGTTAGAAAGTTATAGATGAGGTCTATAAAATATCCATCCCGGCTGAGGGCTGTAGGCTTTCTTTGCCTTCTACTCTGCCATTCTTAGTGTCGTTAGATGATTTAAAGTCTAATAGAATTGCAGAGCTTTGATAAGAAAACAAGGGTGTGGAGACACCATAATCAGAAGAGGAGGAACTGTGTATTGACAAGGAACCTTCAAACCCTGAGGAATGTATTCAAACTATTTGTATTTGATTTGTTATTTTGGGTGCATAAATCTTAATAGATTTTCAAAGATTCCAAAGAGAAAAGCCTGTTTTGAAACAGGGGACTTGGGGGATTCTTACGTCAGAGCTGTGGGAGGTGGGGCAGGGTCACCTCTATGCTCTTTCTGCCCTTAGATCTCCCAGCTGCTCAGGACTTGCCCTTAGCAAGCTAAATACCAAGGGCACATGGGAGATTCTGATAAAAGTGCAAAGCTTGGCTAGCTCTTGGAATTATGCTGCTGCTTGTCACTCACATCTACCCTACATTTTGTTAAAGGCTTGTCCAAAATTTAAACACCCATCCCACTGTCTCATACCTCTCCAGAGCTTAGTAATAAATGCGTGGTTGAAACTGTTGAAGAACCCACTTGAATCTTAAATTCTATGCAACTAGACTTTGGGTTTATTTTGTTTGTAGATTTGCCGGATGTTTCTGTTTAATTTGTTATTTCCCTAAATGCTTGATGATGGAATTTGTTCCAGTTTTAATGTTTAAGTGAGCACATGAACCAGTTTATGATTTACATTTTAACTTAAATGTATCGTGTGTGTTCGCATGATATGTGTGGATGGGTGTGCATGCCATGGCATATGTGTGAAGGTCAGAGGACAGTTTTGTGGAGTTAGTTCTTTCTCTCCTTCCACCTTTTTGAGAGTTTAGGATTGAACTCAGGTCATCAGGTTTGCAGAACAAATGCTTTTACTCTGAGCCATCTTGTTGACCCCACAATCTGAATGGTTTTAAAAATGGAGTCATATGATCTTTATAGATTACATGTGTGTAAACTCACTCTTGGCTAGCATAATACTATGAAACTGAACTGCTATCCAAAGTGAATTCATATTTAAAAAAAATTACATTTATTTAATTTTATGTGTATTGCCGTTTTTCCTTTATGTTTATCTGTGCACCATGCGCATGCCTAAAGTCAAAAGAGGGTAACTGATCCTCTGGAACTAGAGTTACATGTGAGCTGCCATGAACTCCCTGGGTTTGTGTGTGTGCCCACGTGCGCTGTGAGCATAGGCCGGAAGTCAGAGTTGTATGTCTCCTCAAGGAGATAGTCTCTTCTTCAACTTGAAGTTGCTGATTTGGCTGTACTGCCTGGCTTGTCTCCACCTCCCACTGCTGGGCTTCCAGGTAGATGCTGCTGTATCTTTCTTCTCATTTTTTTGGTGGCGAAGACTCCTGTTGCCCTGGCGGGCCTTGAATTCCCCCTTATAACTGGGGGAGAGCTTAGAGTCTGCCTGTCTCCTGGGTGCTGGGATTGCAGTTGTTCACATTCAGCTTCCAGCTTCTTCTTCTTCTTTTTTTTTTAATGTGGTCTCTAGGGAATCAGACTCAGGTTTTGTAATTGCACAGCCTTTATGTTTTTCCTTGTTTTGAGACAGGGTCTCGTGTAGCAGAGTGACCTTAATTCAGACAGTGGCTGAAGGTGTCCCTGAACTCAGCACCCTTCTTGCTCTACCTCCCACGTACTGGGGTTGTAGGGTGTGCACCATGCCCAGCTTCTGCTTTGTTTCAGAGAGGATCTCCCAGTGTAACCCTGGCTAGACTGAGGCTTGCTGGGTAGTCCAGGCTGCATTCACTCACCGCAGTCCTCCCCTGTTGGCCTTCTGAGTATTGAGATCATAGGCAGGTCCAGTTACATGCTCTTAAAAACTTTTTTTTTTAGGTCTGTTTTGTGTGCATTTCTGTGTCTGTGTGTTTTTTGTGGGGCTGTGTGCATATGAGTGCAGGTACCTGCAGAGGCCAGAGTTGTCAGGTGGTTGTTGGCCATGCTACCTGGGTGCTGGGAAATGTACCCAGGTAGTCTGCAAGAGCAGTCCGTGGTCTTAACCACTGAGCCATCTTTCCGGCTTCTTAAACCTGTTTTTAATGGTGCTGTTGTCTAACTACATGCAGCTTTGTAGAGGTTGATGCCTTCTAACTAATGCCAGAACGTTCTGAAGATGATTAAAGGACAGCCTGTTAGATCTTATCGGACTAGGTCAGGTTCATCTTTAAACTCGGAAGGGAAACTGTTTTCCACACGCCCCCAGTCCACATGCAGTCATGTCCAGGGAGACTTTGGGAAACGGGCTGCGTGGGCACTTAGCTTAGTGCTCTCTGAACTATGATGTGTGCCTGCTGTTAAGAATGGATGTGTTTACCATTTCTAGTTCACAAACATTTCTTGTGTTTACCAAGAAAGCAGTAAGGGGCTTCTTATCGTTTTTTTTTTTTTTTGCTTTTCAGGGACTCGTGCTTCTGTCCTTGATCACAGCTTTCACTGTGTGAAATGCTGGTGACCACCATTTCTTGAAAATTTTCCTTCTCTTATTGAGCACATTTTTTTCCTTTTTTGATATAGAAAGTATCTGTTTACTGAAACAACTAAAATATAATTAAAATAAAACACCCCCATGAGACTCACTCTTAGGTGTCACTGTTAGACAAACTGTTTGGAATATTTTTACTTGCTTTAAAAATTTTCAGTTTTGCATGCCTGTAATCTCAGCACTCTGGGAGGCAGAGGCAGGTGAATTGCTATGAGTTGGAGGCCAGCCTGGTCTACAAAGCGAGTACATGACAGCCAAGGCTACACAGAGAAATCCTGTCTTGAAAAAAAAAAAAAAGGCTCATACAGATACCCACTGTGGGTGCACTTGGCCCTGGAGATGGAGTGGTGCTGAGGGTGGTTCTATGAGTTGCTGAGGGAGGAGACAGTGTCACGTTGGCAGTAGTGTGTAGCGCTAAGTTCTTGCCCTTTAAAACCTAGGGGTCAGAACCAGGAAGTGTTGAGTGTAAATACTGAACCCTTTCATGCTTCTAGGATGGCAGGTAGAACCTGCCGTCAGTCAGAATGGCTGCTGTTAGTACACGGAGCGGGGCAGCTGGTGGCCTCTGCTGCCGTGTCTGTGGTGTAGGCAAGGTGTCTCGGTCTTGCAGCCCTCACAGAGAACAAGTCCTCAGAGTTTTCTCACAGTCACTGTAGCCAAGAATTACCTTGAACTCTTGACCCCCTGCCTCTGTGTATCAAGTGCTGGAGCTGCAGGGGTGCCCAGCACACCCCGCTTCAGTTGAGTTTTATATACATGGGTATACTTCTATTTTATGTGTAAGGTTTTTTCTCTGCATGTATGTTTGGACTATGTGCATGCTTGATACCCAGGACAGCCAAAAGAGGGCAGTGGACCCCTGGAGCTGGAATGATAGACAGTGTGAGTCTCTGCATAGGTTCTGGGAATTGAACAGGTGTTGTCTGGAAGAGCAGCCTGTACCAACCATCTCAGCAGCCCCACTGTAGGTGTGGTTACCAGATACCTCCTTGGCTCTCATTTGGATGAGCTTTAACATATGCAAATAGTGTAAGGAGAGCCTTAGGCACTTAGGGCTCACTGGACTCTCTTCCTGGAAAGTCGTACTATGGGCACCAGCTCAGGTTAAGGAAGCAGTTCTGTCTCAGTGTATCACCCTATGCCCTGTGATGTTTTGTGGGGAATGCTTCCAGGGAAGTTGTTCGGGATGTGGGGGTCTACTCTATGTCTGGTTAACCTTACAGGAAATCAGAGCGAGAAGGTCTATTTTTGTTCTGGTATACAATCTGTTTAGTTGTGAGGCAGGGAAGTTCCTTAGAACAGAGGTTCTCATCCTGTGGGTTGGATCCCCTTGGAGGGGGTTAGACGACCCTTTCACAGGGGTTGCCTAAGGCCATCAGAAAACACAGATATTTACACTATGTTTCATAACAGTAGCAAAGTTACAGTTATGAAGTAGCAATGAAGTTAATTCTATGGTTGGGGTCCCCACAACATGAACTTTATTGAAGGGTCACAGCATTAGGAAGGTGGAGAACCCCTGCATTAGAGGATTAGATGCCACTTTGCACTTGACCATTATTTTCCTTTTTCTGATTACTTTTTATTTATATTATTGTTATTTTGGTTTTTCAAGGGTTTCTCTGTGTAGTACTGGCTGTTCTGGAACTTGCTGTGTAGACTCAGAGCTCCACCTGCCTCCGACTCCCTAGTGCTGGGATCCAAGATGTTGCCACTATCACCTTGCTGCTGCTGCATTATCATCGTCGTCATCATCATCATCATCATGTAGCGTTTTGGGGTTTTTTTGAGACCCAGCTGTACTGGAACTCATTATGTTGATCAGGCTGGCCTGGAACTCACAGAAATCCCCCTGCCTCTGTCTCCCAAGTACTGGGATTATAGACGTGAGCCACCATGCCTGGCTCTTGCTTGCCTCTTGACCCAGGGTTAACTTTATTAAATTCTGTGTATAGAAAGCTCTTAGATTACAGGTGTGTGCTAGGCCTGGTTGAAACCATAATCACCTGTTTAAAATAAACAAAGTTCTTGGATTAAAAGTGTGAGATAGGGCTCAACCACACCAAACAAGAAACAAGGCTTTACAGTTCATAATTTTGGGGTTCACAATGGGACAAAATACCCTGCAACAGTAACCTTTTAAGGCTGAATTAATTAACTTGCTAGTGCTAGTTATTGAACTCAGCGCCTCACACACGCTCAGCACTGCACTCTGCCAGCCCGGCTGTAGCCTCAGCTGCCGGACACTGGTTTTTTCTTCCTTTGGACAGTTGCCTGGAGATGGATCTAAGCTGGGCATTGCTTTGGCTGTTGAAGGACATCTGCATGGTTTCTGGCCGTATGAATAAGTCATCATAAGGAGTACTGTGCGTGCTTAGCCTTTGAAGAAGCTGCTTCCTAGTGCTGCTCTGTTGACACTTGGGTGTCTGTTGTTGTTTTTTTATTGTTTGTTTGCTTTTTGAGACAGGGTTTCTCTGTGTGTAGTCCTGGCTGTTCTGGAACTCTTTGTAGACCAGGCTGGCCTCAAACCCAGAGATCCACCTGCCTCTACCTCCTAAGTGCTAGGATTAAAGGCCTGGGTCACCACGGCCGCTCCGATGACATTTGTGATGAAAGTGTGGTTGTAGTGCAGTTCTTAATTTTCATTTTTCTCTTCTTCTCCAAGCTATTCTGTTTCTTGTTGCTTTTGGGTTTTTTTTTTTTGCAGTGCTGGGAATTGAGCCAAAGGCCCCCCGAATGTCAGACATGTAGTCTACCACTGAGCTACACTCCTAGCTCCTAGGTATCTGTTTTTGGAGACAAGGTCTTACACTGTGGCCCGGGCTGGCCTGGAACTCCCGTGGATCCTGCTGCCTCAGCTTGCCAAGTGCTGGATTTATAGGTGTGCACCAGCACTCTAGCCTGCTTTGTTGATTTCTTTTGTAGCAGTCGTAGGCCACTCTGTCTGGCTTTCTCTCCTGCCTCACTGGGGTGAGGTGGAATCCCCCTTTGGCCTTTGACTTTGGGTCTTCAGTCCTTTTGATGATCTGGGCACTCAGAAGGAGATTCCCACATTTTACAAAACCCACTCTCATGAACAGTCTTCTTCCACCTTCTAAAGAGTTAAACCCCTGAGCACCAACCGCTTCTGGTACAGAGCTGCTCCCTGCCTGTCTTCAGCCCCTTCCCCAGCAGATGGTTTCTACACGATGGCAAAATGTGCATACTGCTCTAAGCTCCAACCTTCCTGTGACCTCCTCCACTGCACCCTGACTGGTGGGTCACACTTGACCCTGCTTTTCTTATCTTCTGCCTTGTCATCCCCCTTCCCTCCCCCGTCCCTTTCCCTTTCCGTCCAGTCCCCTCCCCCTGCTCCCACTCCCTCCCACTCTGTCTCTTCTTCCTCAAGTACAGACTTGTCTAGCTTCTCTCCCAGACTGGAGTTTGCTTGCCAGTGCCACTTTCTTGTAGCGCAGTCTAACTCAGGAGGCCCAGGGTTCTTGACCTCTGAGTAGCGGGAACACCCTTCCCACCTTCTCCCAACAGACGCGCCGGCACTCCTCCCAAACCCCTGGCTGCTGTTCTCACTGCTCTTGTTGGCATCTCTTTTTGGCAAACTCTTCACATCTGCCATGTAGGACAGCTGCCTCTCAGGGTGTTCTTGACCCTGTCCTTGGCTGCCTCCCTGTCTCTGGGAGTGACACTTCCCCTGACCTCTAGACTAGTCAGTCTCCTATTTGCCTCCAGCTGTACCTCTGCCTGACTCTCACTGACTCTTTCATTACAACACTGAGGAAAGTGGCTGTGCACGGCGGTACTCGGCTTTCTCTCCTTCTGGAGGTCCTTCCTGTGGGCTGTTACAATACTCTCATTTCCAAGTCTCAGTGGCTGGCACACCGTAGTTAACTGGGTGTATCCTTTCAAGGCAAGCAGACGGCAAGTTCTATTTATCAAGTTTGTTTGCTAATCTTGTTTGCCCCAGTCTGTATTTTACATACACTTGAGTAAACAGATAGTGGGTTTAATTTTTTTTAGAAGGGGGGAATCTCACAGTGTTGGCAAGGCTGGCGTTGAGCCTTTGAGCCTTCTAAGTGTCTAGGTCTACAGGCACAGCCTACATGCAGGTTTTGAATGTGGTGTATTATCTTGACTCACCGAGGTCAAATGGTTTCCTTCCGTAGCTGCTGTCCCTGCTGGCCTTCATCTGTGAGGAGGTTGTGACCGAGTGCGGGCTGTGCGGAGGCCTGTACTTCTTTGAGTTCGTGAGCTGTAGCGCCTTTCTCCTGAGCCTGCTGCTGCTGATCGTGTACTGCACGCCGGTGCACGACAGAGTGGACTCTAGCAAGGTCAAGTCCTCGGTGAGTGGGGAGCACTTGGCCCCTGTGTCGGGAGCACCTGTCCTGATTGTGAGAACAATCAAGTCACCTAATTCATGTTAGACATTTTCTTGTTTTTTTTAAAGACAGGGTCTCACTAGTCCAAATTGGCCTTGAAGTTGTGATCTTCCTGCCTCAGCTTCCTGAGTGCTGGCATTAAAGGATTGGGCCACCTCGCTTTACCTAAACATTTTTTTTTTTTTTAGAAGTTTGATTTTGTCACTTTTTATTTCTTAGGTTTTAGAATGTCACTCACTGGCTCTACAGTTAGGAACTGAGTGCTTGCTCCCTGCCAGACACTGCACAGATGGGTGGTAACCGATCATGGGGTCTTTAACACACATTCTATCTGTATTTTGCTGTTATTTTACTTTTTTTCTTTTCATTACTCAAGACAGGATTTCTCTGTGTAGTCCTGGCTGTCCTGGAACTCACTTTGTAAACCAGACTGGCCTCGAACTCAAAGAGATCCACCTGCCTATTGCACCCCTCAGCCCAAGTGCTGGAATTAAAGGTATGCACCACCACTGCCCAGCACTTTCCTTTAATTATATAACAAAATAAAAGCTGTCTTCAGGTGGGTAAAGAGTGTATTTGTTGGTTCACTATTAAGTGTTTCCCAGGCTAGGAGAGGCGGCCACGTGATGTAAAGCCCTTACATCACAGATGTAAGGACAGGAATTTGGGTCCCCAGCATCCACACATGGCCACTCAACTGTTATCCCAGCTCTGGTGACAGAGGCTAGACCAGCCAAGTCAGTGAACTCTGTATTCCCATAAGAGAAGCTGCTGGTATTAGCTGGAGAATGTCTGGAAAGATGCTTTCATTTGCCTCTGCCTCCAGGTGCACACACATGCAAATGTACAAACAGATATATACACATGTAAACGAGCAGGCACAACCCACACAAAGCTGACTGGGGTATAGTTCAGCTGGTAGAATACTCACTTGTTTGCACTGGAGCCCTGGGCTTTATGAATTGGTGTAGTGGTATATGCCTGTAATCCCAGCAGTCAGGTCCTGAAGAGAACTTACTCCCAAAGTTGAACCCCAGCCTCCACACACATGCAGTAGCACCTGCATGCCCTGATGCTAACAATAAGAACTGAACAAGATGTTACAGAATTAGGAAGTTGTATAGCTAGGATTTGAACTGAGGTAGTCTGACTTTAGATACTATGTTTATTGAATAGTGAATCTTGCTTTAAAAAATATATTATTTTGTGTATGTGTTTGTGTGCGTGTATGTTAATACGCTGCACGAATACCTGGTATGCGTAGAGGCCAGAGGAGAGGGTTGAATCCCCTGGAAATGGAGTTACAGATGGTTGTGAGCCACAGTGTGGGTGCCAGGAATTGAACCAGGGTGCTCAGCAAGTTCTCTTAACTGTAAAGGAATCTCTCCAGCCCCAGCAGTGCATTTTTTTTATCTCAAGATGTTGGTCCTAGAAAGGTGGTAATCTCAGTACTTGGAAGGTGGAGGCAGGAGGATCAGAACTTCATGGCCACTCTAGGTTACATGAGAACTTGTGAGAAACAAATATAAAACCACCAAACAAGCACTCTGGGAATCAGAGGCAAACGGAGCTCTGTGAGTTCAAGGCCAGCCTGGTCTATAAAGCAACTCTAGGACAGCCAAAGCGAACACAGAAAAACCTTTCTGCCTCGAAAAAAACAAAACAACAACAAAACCACACCAAACAAAAGTTTAGTTTGCCTAGCATTCATAAAGCTATAGGTTTACTCCCCCAGTAAGACCAAAAACAAAGACAAAAAACAAAAGGAAACAAACACAAAAACCCAAAACTTATTCAAAAACAAAAAATGGTCTGGAAATTGTGGCACATGCCTATAATCCTGGCACTCAGGAAGCAGAGGCAAGTGGTTGGATCTCTGTGAGTTCAAGGCCAGACTGTTCCATATGTTGTGTTCTAGACCAGCCAAGACTACATGGTGAGAACCTGTCTCAAAAAGAAAAATTTTGTAATATACTATTACATGCAGCCTAGAGTAGATAGTGTTCGAATAAAGGGCTTATTGGAAAGGTAGCAGGCTAGCATAATTAAGTTTGGTTTGCAGGAAGAATGTAAGTTCATTCAGGGATTTTGAAATTAAAAATGGGGGCTGGAGAGATGGGTCAGTGGTTAAGAGCACTGACTGCTCTTCCAGAGGTCCTGGGTTCTATTCTCAGCACCCACACGGCAGTTCACAACTGTGTAACTCCAGGATCCAACACCTTTACACAGAATACAAGCAGGCAAAACATCAATGCACATAAAATGAAAATAAAAAATGTTAAACTTTGTCTGCTACTCTAACCAACTGTGTTCTTGTTTTCTCTGTGTTTAGGATTTCTACATCACCCTCGGAACAGGGTGTGTCTTTCTGCTGGCATCTATCATTTTTGTTTCTACCCATTCCGGGACCTCAGCTGAAATTGCTGCGATTGTAAGTCCTTTGCATTTTGGGCCTTATTTTTGTTTCCTTAAAAATAGAGAATTTAGAAAGTTCTTGATAAATTATATATGAGTAATAATTATTACTTATTTGCTTATATTCATGTGTATGTAATAATAGGTGATAATTATTACATTTATTTATATCCATGATGTGTATGTTTGTGTGGGGTGGGCACCTATGTGCCATGGTCTATGTGGAAGTAGGAAGTGATCTTTAGTGCTGGCTCTGCCTTTCTACCTTACTTGAGGTGGTCTTGTCAGTGCTGTGTGGCCGGGCCAGGCAGCTCACTGGTGTCCAGCCCTCTTTTTGAGGTAGCCCTGGCTGGCCTGGCACTCAGTACTGGCATAGAGTCATCTGACCTGGCCCCACCAGCTTCTTGGAATCTCCTCCTCCTACTTCCCATTTCCTGTAGGTGTTTTGGGACTGCAGATGCTTGTGACGATGTGTTTGACTTTTGGTTCCGGGATGTGGACGCAGCTCTTCAGGCTTGTGTGCCAAACTTTTACCCACTTTTACCCGCAAACTTCTTCCCAGCTCAAGAATAGTTTTTCTCCTACTTCTTAATTTAAAAGTAGAGCTAAAAGTAAAAGATGGGAGTCTTAAGACCCTAGGAACTTGTCTGGACTGTGTGTGTGTGTGTGTGTGTGTGTGTGTGTGTGTGTGTGTGTGTGT